GTATTAACTTTTGCCCTTAGGACTCTTTTTTTTGTTTTGGTTTTTTTTTTTGGTTCACAAGGATTAATTACTAACATTCTTATCGGTTAATGCAGGCTCCATGCCAACCAACTATGAGCGTTATTATGGCTTTACAAGGTTTGCCATTGAGCTGAATGAGTTGGATCCTGCCCTGAAAGATCTTCTCCCAAGAACAGATGCCCGATTCAGGCCAGATCAAAGGCAAGAAACGTATTGCTTATTTTGTACCTCTGGCTGCTTCGGAGCAAATATCAAGAGCGTTATCAACGTTTGCAGGCTTTGGTTGATTAATCCATTGCAGGAGGAGTGAGGAATTTTAGAAGGTTGGGTGGGGTGTTTCCCCCCAACCCTCTCAAGGAGGGCTTTGCCATGAACCACACCAGCCTCTTCTAGTGAAACTGGTGATGAGCAGAAAGTCAGGTTTGGGGTTATCAAAAAAATGGGTAGATATTCTAATCAGAGAAAAATTATGCTCTCTGGAGACATGATTTGCCTCTTTTTTAAAGGTGGTCTCTGAGGGATGGGAGGAAAAGCATATGGGGATGAGGAAATCCCTCTTTTAAGCTGGTACCTGCATTGCCTTGTGAGTTCATAGTTTGAGAACAACTGATCTGAACTCCGTTTGTTCAAAAGACCTGGATTTATTTATATACATGGCCAAAATCCTGTTGGTTAACATAAGCCAAATACATAGGTTTTGGTCCATTCTTCACAGGTAAGTAATTATTGAGGAGGTGTACACACATGCTGGTTTGGTGCATGCACACCCACAAAGAATCACAATGGGGACTTTTAATTTACAGGCAAGGAACAGACCAAAATGTACAAATGTGCATATGTTGCACTACAGGATTTCAGCCATTTATGCTAATTCAGCCAGTGAATCAGCATGCAAATAACAAAGACTAATCTACTTGATCAATCAAGATCTCTTCAGCTGGTGATGTCTCTGTTGTTTGAATGACATTATCGGGAATTTATGATTTCTGGGGCTCTTAAATGTCAGGTTCTTCTTTCTGGTCTTCATAACTCTCAGGTACAGGATTTCTGATCTTGTACACAACCTCCTTCCTTAACATTGTAGAGCTGAGCAGTTATCTGTTGGACAGAAGCTGCAGAGTGTCTGCAGCATCCCTTTTGCTTTACCTCCAGATATTCGACCTATGACCAATCTTTGACTTCTGATTCTGAACATTTTTTTAAAATCACAGTCACCTCTGTAGGATGTGTGGATGAACTACAGTATATGCTCTTTATGTTCATTCTCCATACCTAATGCTCCATAAAGGCAAGCTTTTTTTGATTAGTTGGTGGATTTTATATCCCATCATTCTCCTAGGGGACGTGGTGGCGCTGTGGGCTAAACCGCAGAAGCCTGTGCTGCAGGGTCAGAAGACCAAGCAGTCGTAAGATCGAATCCACGTGACGGAGTGAGCGCCCGTCGCTTGTCCCAGCTCCCGCCAACCTAGAAAGCATGCAAATGCAAGTAGATATCATTCTCCTAATAAAGGGAGCTCAAAGTGATTTTACACAGAGACATTTGCTTCCCCCCCCCAGGTTGTATTCATTGCCCACCTCTAGCAGGATGTGGTTCTCTTTATCTTTTTATACTCACTACCTGCTCTGCTGGACTCTGAGTTCCACTGGTATTTACGGAGTGTTTAACATCTGAAGGAACTATGGCCTTTTGTGAGATACCACATTTTTGTTGTTGTTCTGATGGTGGAAATATGGAGGGCAAATCAGTGTTCTTCCAGTGCTTGACTAAGAGACTGGCACCCACTAACAAACTGGTACAAGTGAGCATGAATACCTTTCCAAAGGCTTCTAAAAAGCCATTCCACAGTTCCTCAGCAACACTGCTTCAGAGTATCTTCACATTTTGCGCCAAGCTACTGCCTTGTCTTAAGGCTCCACATTTGTGTGTTGTAATCCAAGCCTGTGGAGCTACATCTTTTTATAGAACTGCTTATCCTTAGTCTTGGTGTGTCACCTGTCCTCCATCGAGAAGATGAGCTTTAGTGTGTTTGTCACAGAGATCTCGAAAAACAAAATAAAATCAGGTTGTTTACCTGTAACAATTATTCTCTGAGTGGTCACCTGTGACCCAACACAGGCTTCCTCCTGCCTTTTTTTGAACCAGTAGACTCAGAACTGAAGAAAAATAGAGAAAATACTGCAGATACAGTGGTGCCCCACTTGACGATTACCTTGTTAGATGAGGAAATTGCTTAACGATGAGTATTTTGCAATCGCTATAGCGATCGCAAAACAATGTTTGTATGGGTTTTTTTTTGTTTGTTTGTTTAACAACAATCGGTTCCCTGCTTCGGGAACCGATTTTTCGCTTAACAACGATCAAAACAGCTGATTGCTGGGTTTCAAAATGGCAGCCGGCTGTGCAAAATGGCTCCCTGCTGTGTTTTAGGACGGAGTCCTCACTATACAGGCACCAGAAAAATGGCCGCCCTATGGAGGAACTTCGCTGGAGGCTGAGGTATTTTGCCCATTGGAACGAATTGAACCGGTTTTCAGTGCATTTCAATGGGTTTTTTTACTTTCACTTGATGACGATTTCGTTCTACAGCGATTTTGCTGGAACGGATTATCCTCGTCAAGCGAGGCATCACTGTATACACAGTGAGGTGGGCAAACGTCAAGCGAGGCACCACTGTATACACAGTGAGGTGGGCAAGGTTCCCACCAAAAAAGATGACCACTCAGTTCTAGAATGTTCTCTGTGGCCCTCCAAGTGGTCGGTTGTGAAATCCCCTGCATTGGTGGTGATTCTGCTCTTTGAATGTCGATATCTACATAATTGCTTTACTGTAGGCTTTTGGAAGAAGGGAATATAGAAGCAGCAGCAGCAGAAAAACAAAGAATAGAAGAACTTCAGAGAAGTCGGAGACGCTACTTAGAAGAAAACAATATGGAACATGTACCAAAATTTTTTAAGTATGTAAATTCAAGAATATGCTTATTTCGTGCTAACTCATATATTGCCAGCTGGGTAGCATCGTAGAATATTAAATCAAAGATGCTTGACTTTCAGTTGATTTTTGTTTTGTTTTTAGAAAAGCATAGTAGCCTTGATAAAACACTGGTTTAAAAAAAACACCTTTGTTTTCAACATATTTTCCTTCAGCATCGCAAGTGCTTCGTATGGAAAATGTGTGCTTCTTTGCTTTGCAGAAGGTAGGAGACCTTTAGAAACTGAAAGGAAATGAATGGCGAAAACTGATAGAACAAGACATACAGCACTATTCAACCCTTATGTCTCAGATCGTTTTGGTCCAAAGATTCAGAGATAGCATCTTGTCTTTTTTTACCTCTGTTGATAGGCAAAAAAAGAGAAAAGAAAAAAAGTCAGAATTTTTTACAATGTGGTCACTATATAATCCCGGAGCTTCAGAGGTAGAATACTGAGATTTTGATTATGCTTGGGATTTTGTGCATTTAAAAGGATATTCTTCTGCATAAAGAAATATGCCTATGTGTAAATCACTTGTCCTTTTCAACAGCTGGGCCTGAGTGCATTTAGCAAAGCCGAAATGCTCCCGGCTGCCTCTTTAACAGGCAAACGTCCCTCTGCTCCCTTTTTTCCTGCCAAAGAATGGGTGGGCAAGAGTTTTGCTTTCTAAAGATGGTTCTGCAAGTAACTATTTTGGATGGCAGTGTCATTCTGTTCTTATAGGCACTTCTGAATGAGTTTTGGTCTAACAGCAATTTTTTCCCCTTTCAATTTGCAGAAAAGTTTTCGATGCCAATCAAAGAGAAGTTTGGGTTTCCAACGACATGTATTGGGAACTCCGAAAGGATCCTGGCTTTAGTAAAATAGAAACCCTCAAACTCTGGTAAACTGAGAATGTAGATCTAGTAATATATCACTCTTTAAAATGAAAAAAAAAACTATGCACAACATGTTTCTTATAGTTAGGGGTGATTTGTGGGTCTGCTGGAAACCTTCCATTTGCTTTTGTATCCATCTTTATAATGGACTTCCAAAAGTGCATTAGCTCAGACCCTAAACATTTCTGCAGCAGGTATTAAATTAAGAGAAAATAACACACCCTTTAAAGATTCAGGTACAGGAAATGCAGCACAAGAGAAGCATGTCTTGAATTTAGCCCAAGATGCTTTGAAGAGTAGCATCTGGTGCTTAAAAGAGACCCAGAGAGGTCTAAAACAAAGCAGGTCCTGTTTCAGCTAACCTGTCTAGAATGTCCACGCCTGCACTTTCTGAATCTTGGGTCACAATACCTGTTTATTTCTAACTTCAGGTTCATTTCTTGATGTACAGTGTGCTTGGACTGGCCATGACACACACCCCAAAAAAAGACATAATGCTTTTCTGGAGGCTTTTCCCATTCACATGCCATTGTTCATGCCTTAAAAACAATGTGAAGTTGTACATTGTCGTTTTAAAATATGTGTTCTTCTTAGACATTTGTCAAGGGCAGATTTTAAAAGCACGTGGATTTTGTTCATATTATAAATAATGAAGAAAGAAAGAGAACTATTTCAAGGAAACAAATTCGAAATGCATTGTAAGGGAATGTGATAGACTGGCACATGCTTTAATTTTGAGCTACTTGGTTGTATGTTCAAGTTGACAGGAAACTGGTTAGTTTTTTTTTTTAAAACAACTTTGGCAAATGAATCCAAAGGTATATTCCTAATGCCTAATGCTGTGATAAATATACCATCTCTTGTCATGACTTCCCATGGCTTCATACTTTGTCTCGTTTCCTTACAACTTTATATAATTGGAATTCCCAGAAGCTTCACATATGTGTTAAATGGGGAGGGGGGGAGGAATCTCATTACTTTCGGTAAAGTATCCTACAAACATGTGCGCACACCCAATTTCTGATGCAAGTTTGGTTTTAATGGGAGAAGCCATGTCGAACATGTGTGTCTAATACATCTTGCTACTATGGTTTTTATGCAAAATTATATTTTACCAGTTTCCATAAAGCAACTATATTTTTAGACAAAGAAGCAAGATTTAAAACGGTTGTTGTGTAGCACATTTTTTATGTATAAGTGGAAAAAGCCTGGATGATATATCTCTCAAAGTGAACTGAAGTTGGTTATGCTTTACTGAAGTCAGTATTATTAGAAAAAAGTATCTTAATGTTTTTTATGTATTCTTGTCATTCATTCATGCCCAATAGATTGATTCTGCTTGCATCTCTTAGGGGCTAATGAGAGAAAATATTTCTTTGTATATATTTCAAAAACAATATTTATATACATGCCTTGCACATAATTCTATATATGTTTTACTTTTCTTTATAAAGGATTTCTTTAGAATAAATTACCGGTGAGCTTCCATAGAGATACAGAGGTGGCTAGATGTTACAATGATTTCCCCAAAGTAAATTAACTGTATATTTGCTACATATTGCTTTTGCCCCCTCAGGGGCAAACTCGGAAATCTAGCTGCCCATCCTGTCCTCTAGTCGGCACTCCACTCTTGAGAGTGTCCAGAAATGGAGGGACTTCCGTTGCTCCAGATCAAAAAGGAGAAACTCGTCTTTTGTAAAGTTAATGGTTCTTAATTGCTCACTCGAGACAAAACTACCCTAAAACGCTTTGCATTACAACCAGGATAGCTTGCAGCAATATACTCTTCCTGGTATATCTGCTTTCCTCCCAGCTACTGTAAGGATTGCAACGAAGCTTAAAGTGAATGGGTAAGGTAGTGCGATGTGGCTGATGTTGTCAGAGTCCCTGCTGCGGCTGAAATATCCAGGGGGTTTGATCCTGGAAGCCTGGTGTCCATTATACCTCTGCCCTCCCAGTCCCCTAGTTTCCGTTTTTATAAGCACATTTGTGAAAGGAAAAAGCTGTTGAAAAATATGGGTTTCCTCCTGACGCTGCTTTGTCTTAGGATGTACAATATTGTAGGAGAATTAAATATCTGTCCATAAGAGTTGCTTTTTTTGGGGGGGGGGATAGTTTAGGATCCAGTGGGTTTCCTTGATGCTTATAAAATACTCAAGCTGCTTCCAGACAAGTCTTTTATTGTGTAATTCGCAGATTTAACGGGAGACCTCACAAAATGCCCCTTCCCGCTTGCATTCTTCCCATGCTTTCCCTGCATCACGGCTTCTGTCCCTTTTCTAACCTGAGAAAATCATCCAAGGAAGGAAAGGTGGAGGAGCTGCACCCCGGCCTCTTTGGGCTGGTTGTGCCAGGGGTCTTTCACTTAGAAACACACACCCACACAGAAGAGGTTTCTCAAGAAATCTACCCATCTGTGAGTGCCTTTTAAGCTTTGGCGTCTGTTCTGTCAAATGCTTCTCTGATAGCTCCAGGTTCCTTTTCTCAACAGTAAGTTTTCCACTTGCTGGGGTTGCGGTGCAAAAGGGGGGATGGTCTTGATCGCGTCTTCTGGAGCCTGGCACAGGACCCTTGGATCTTAAGAGCTTCCCTTTCTCTACAAACAGCATGTTGCAATCTTCTCTATTCTGAATATTTCCAGAACTCGACCCTCCCTTTCGATTGTCAAATACAATAGATTTGTTCTGTTTTTGAAAAGACCGCACACTTGTCTCTCACCATAATAATTAAATGTAAAGAAAGCAAAAGTGAAGACTAATTTAATTTTCTACGAGCTGCTTGAGAAGGAGTCTCAGGATATGCAGCCTGAATAGGCTTTTTCTCTCTGGCTGCTCCGCTGTTGGGGGTTGAGTGAATAGATGACGGCAGTCTAGAAGCTTGCAACAGAAGCAAAGTACAGTGGGGTCTTGACTTGAGAACTTAATCCATATTGGAAGGCGGTTCTCAAGTGAAAAAGTCTGTAAGTCAAGTCTCCATTGACCTACAGTGTATTGAAAACCGATTAATCCCGTAACAGGCCGTTTTTGTTCCATTTTGGTTTTTTTCTGGTCTGTAAGTCAAATCTCAGTCTGCAAGTCAAACCTAAATTTTGCGGCCAGAGAAGTCTGTAACTCAAAAAGTCTGTAAGTCAAGCCGTCTGTAAGTCAAGGGTCCACTGTACAGACAGCCCGAGGGTTGGGAATCCGTGATCTCACTAGGAAGCCCCATTCCTCTTCTCCTCAGCCCTCCTTCAGTGCTTTGCTTTAGAAAGAAAATTATGTTGAAATGGAACTGATAGGGAGAGTCATAATATACAGTGGACCCTCTACTTACGGAATTAATCTGTATTGGAACGGTGGCTGCAGGTCGAAAAGTCTCTAGGTCTATTCTCCGTTGACCTACAATGCATTGAAAACCAATTAATCCTATAACCGGCCGTTTTTGTTCCATTTTTGTTCCATTGTGGTTTTTTTCTGGTCTATAGGTCGATTCTCTGGCTGCAAGTCGAACCTAAATTTTGCGGCCAGAGAAGTCTGTAACTCGAAAAGTCTGTAAGTCAGGCCGTCTGTAGGACTTAGATGCAGCTGTGGTTTAATTGGTGAAAGACATCTAATTTTTTTTTAAAAAGAAAGGCAGACAGCTCTCCTGAAACATGGGAAGAGAAGCAAGAGCTTGCTCGCTTGCCTGTTGCTATGCATCCCCCACTTCTTACCCAGATGACAGGCCATTTCTTTGCATTCACTAGTTGAAGAGTTGAGTCCCTTGTTCCAAGTGACATCTGTGTGCGGTACGAATTTGCTCCCGCCCTTGCCATCGCTGCAAGCAATGGTCTTGCTGAGATTCCGTTTTAGACAAACTTGATTTAAAAACAACAGATAATATATTCAAAAGCCCCATTCTCCCAAGTCCTGCAGGAGTGAAACTGGGATGTTAAGGCAGGGGCTGAACTGACAGGATGAGAGGGCAAGCATGGCGCTCTGTGCTCAGAGTGCATAGAGATACAGTGAACAAGTAAATAGGCTCACATGCAGCAGGGGTCTTTGACAGCCGAGGCAGCGGTGGCAGGACATATTACTAGAAAAATACTACAGTAGTATCCGCTTGCCAGAAAAGTTGTTCGTTCTGTCATAATAACATTGGGGGGCAGGATACTATATTGTTCGTATTTTGCATTCGTTCTAAAAGTTATCCTCTTATGAGGTCTTGTCCTT